TTACGTCTCTGCATTGCATCCATGTATACCATAATAGGAACAACGATGGATCATGGAGTCGACCGGAGTAACGGAAAGGTGGTGTCTTGAGGATCGTGTCGCCCTGATGGAATGTTAATTTTGGTTATATCTTACCCAAGCAAGCCCCAGTGCATAACCCCTATTATTCTACACTTTATTTTATGCTTGTGCGTTAAGTTTAAGGAGTTGAATGAAACCCACTTGCATATATATATTCTTACCCTATGAGTTTTACTAGTACGACAAGATCGTGTAGATTGCTATGCTACAGGACTCCGGTAGAAGTCGAGTGATTGCCTGTCACTCGCGAGAGATAAGAAAGATGTTATTATTGCTATTATACACCTGGAAAATATATATGAATGATAATTGGAGACTGGGCGGAATGGTACTTTAGATCTGGACTTGGGTTTGGCATTCGAGCGAGGCTCGGATTGCATTTGTTCCGCCTATGTCAGTTAAGGACCGGTCGTTGCATTGGGTTCTAGGCAGGTCATAGACTTATTATCCTGAGCACATATTTATTTATGGGAGCAGAGAAGTCTCATTACTCTCTTGTCGTGGGTTCTGGCTCTTTCCGGGCCGATTGATTGGAGGCAGGGATGGTGGAGGTCTAAGCACCACACTGAGTCTAGGACTCAGGTGTGGGGGCTTGGAGTCCAAGTTTGGACGGAGACCTAGACCCCTTGACAGGAGAGTGGTGGGTTAGTCCTGTTTGTGCCTGGGGTACAAGCGGGGAGTGTGTTTCGGGGTACCCAGCTGAGATACATTGGTTCGCGAATTGTCGGGCAATCTAGTATGACTTGTTTACAGTCTAGCACCGTAGTAAGAACTGGAATATGAAAGATGATAAAATAGTTCTGATTGCTTACCACCTGCTTGAAAGTAGCATAGGTGCTTACATAGAATGGTTAGTTAATGAATTAATTATGACTGCTAATAAAATTGAATATAAGGACGCACGTTTAATAATGCTCCTACAGATGCAATAAAACCACAAGCCAGATAGCCTTGCATATCCTTGGAGTCTATTCTTTCCTCCTGATGGATAAGTCTTGCGAAGTACAATTGAGTACTCAGGGTTTCTTCTACCCTCTTGCAGGTGACAGGAACATATGGAGCTGGCAGTTGTGTGTGGAAACCTCCTGGTGGGCTCAGCGAGGATTTTCTTAACGTTGCGGACATAGAGTTTATTTGAAACTTTCACCCAAAATGTTTTACAATGAAAAAACTTATAACCTGCTATGAAGTATATAACGAATCATCATGTTAATGTTTAACTTGTCATTAAATGATTTTATTTCTGCTGAGACTCTGATAACATGATTATATTCTGCTATTATAAACAATAAATATTATACTCTGATGTTGCATGAAAAGTGATGTAAGAAATGGCTAAAATGTTGTAAGCTTTATTCTCCCATTTATGATCCTGTTGAAAAATGTGAATTTTCATGTTCTCCCATGGGGTGTGCTTGACGGAACTGCGTAATTTAGTGTCCTCCCTTGAGTACTTAGTGTTTAATGGAAGACAAGTACATCTAGGAAGCATTAGATTAGGCGGTTCTGCCACATTCCTCCACCACATGGCCGCGACCACAACATCATCATCCTCCCCGGATCACAGCCCATGGCCGTCTGCCCCTACCGATACCCGACGACGCACAAGGATGAACTAGAGCGGCAATGTACCACCATGCTAGACTAGGGGCTCATTCGTCGTAGTTCCTCGTCGTTCTTCTCCCTAATCCTCCTCGTCAAGAAGGCCGATGGCTCATGGCGCTTCTGCGTTGACTACGGGGCCTTGAACGTGATCACCGTCAAGGACGCCTTCCCCATCTTGGTGGTCGACGAGCTGCTAGACGAGCTCCACAGCACCAAGTTCTTCACCAAGCTCGATCTGCGCTTAGGCTACCACCAGGTCCGGATGAGTCCGGCCGACATCACCAAGATGGCGTTCCGCACGCACAATGGGCTCTATGAGTTCCTGGTGATGCCGTTTGGGTTGTGCAATGCCTTGGCCACCTTCCAAGCCCTCATGAATGACGTTCTGCGCCCCTTCCTCCACCGGTTCATGCTTGTATTCTTTGACAACATCCTCATCTATAGCACCACCTAGGCGGATCACCTCCGGCACGTCCACGCCATCCTCACCGTGCTGCGATAGCACCGCCTCTTCGTCAAGCGCTCTAAGTGCGCCTTCAGGGTTGGCTCCATCTCCTACCTGGGCCACATCATCACCGAGGCTAGAGTCGCCATGGATCTCACCAATGTGCAGGCGATCCATGACTGGCCCTAGCCCCGCTCGGCGTGCGCGGTGCGAGGGTTCCTTGGCTTAGCGGGCTACTACCACAAATTCATCCATGACTACAGCTCCATCGCCCCCCCCTAACGGCGCTCCTGAAGGAGGGGTTTAGCTAGAACGACGATGACGACGCAACCTTCCAAGTGCTCAAGGCCACGGTCACGTTGGCCCTAGTCTTGGTGTTGCTAGACTTCGCCAAGCCATTCATCATCGAATGCGATGCCTCGACCCATGGCTTCGGGGCGGTGCTCATCCAGGAGAAGCACCTGGTCGCCTACTTTAGCCAGCCCATCGTGCCTCGTCATCGTTCCCTCGCCACCTACGAACAGGGGTTGATCGGCCTCGTCCACGCCATCCGCCATTGGTGACCGTACCTCTGGGGCCGCTGTTTTCTGGTGCGAACGGCCCACTATAGCCTCAAGTCCCTCCTCGATCAACGCCTCATGACAATTCCATAGCACCACTGGGTCAGCAAACTCCTCAGGTTCAACTTCACCATCGAGTACAAGCCTGGTGCCAAGAACACGGTGGCTGATGCCCTCTCGCGTCGCGACATCGACGAGGGCACTATCTTGGCCATCTCCGCACCATGGTTCAACTACATCATGCGCCTCCACCAGGCATAGGCCACCAATCTGGCCCTCGTCGCCATTTGGGATGAGACACCGCGGGTACCCATGTGTCGCCATGGTCCATGATCGGTGGCATGGTGACCTTTGACTCCCGCCTCTACATTCCACCAACGTCGACCCTGCTGCCGGAGATCATGACCGCCGTGCACGAGGACGGCCACAAGGGTGTGCAGCGCACCATGCACCGCCTCCGCCGTGACTTCCACTTCCCCAACATGCGCCGTCTGGTTTAGGACTACGTCCGCGCGTGCTCCACCTGCCAGCGCTACAAGTCAGAGCACCTACATCCAGCCTGCCTCCCCATGCCCCATCCAGTACCGCAAGCCGTCTGGATAGACATCGGCCTCAACTTCGTGGAGGCGTTGCCGCGTGTGGGGGGGAGTCCATCATATTGACGGTGGTCGATCGCTTCAGCAAGTACTGCCACTTCATCCCCTTGGCTCACCCGTACACCACAGAGTCGGTGGCGTAGGCCTTCTTCACCGACATTGTACACCTCCACAGCGTGCTGCAGTCCATGGTGTCCGACCGTGATCCGGTGTTCACCTCCACGTTCTAGCGGGAACTCATGCGCCTCATGGGCACCAACATGCACATGACGATGGCTTTCCATCCACAATCGGATGGCCAGACGGAGGTGGCCAACCGCGTCATTGTCATGTACCTACACTGCTTCACCGGTGACCGCCCCCGCCAATGGCTCCGCTGGCTGTCCTAGGCTAAGTACATCTACAATATGGCCTACCAGACTTCACTCCGCAACACGCCATTCCGTGTGGTGTATGGTTGCGACCCGCCGACCATTCGCTCCTATGAGCCGGGCGAGACGCGTGTGGTTGCTATCACCAAGAACATGGCGCACCGCGATGAGTTCCTCGTAGACGTCCGCTATCGGCTAGAATAGGCCCAGGCGGTCCAGAAGCACCACTACGACAAGCTTCACCACCTCGTCTCCTACGCGGTTGGTGATTAAGTCCTACTCCGCTAGCGTCATCATGCTGCCACCTCCCTGCCCTAGGCGACCAAAGGGAAGCTCAAGCCTCGCTTCTTCGGGCCGTACCGTGTCACCGAGCTCATCAATCGCGGTGCGCCTTGATCTGCCACCGCGCACTCGGCTCCATGACGTCTTTCACCTCGGCCTCCTCAAGAAGTTCATCGGTGTCCCACCAACTGTAGCACCGCCCCTCCCGGTCGTCCACAATGCCACAACGGTGCTGCCGTCCCTGAGCCTGAACATGCGATGCGCATCCGCTTGGCGTGCGGCATCCGCCAGGTGCTCATTCACTGGAAGGGTGAGACTGCTGCCTCCGCGACATAGGAAGATGTCGACTCCTTCCTCGACCGGTACCTAGCATTCCAGCTCGAGGATGAGCTGCTAGTCGAGGGGGGAGAGATGCCATGTGGGGCCGCGCCTACACAAGGGAAACGGCGTGCCCGGGATGCTCGCAGAGCCGTAGACGGCGCGCCAGCGACACCGTAGGCACGGTCACCACGCTCTGCATGCACGTGGAAGAAGGCAAGTGTGTGGAAGGCAGTAGAGCCGATCATGGCCTTAGATTGAGGAGCAATTGGCTCCAAGTTGTTATGGCCGAATGGCCTATATAATCTTGTACTCAGTATGGTGATAATCAAGCAAGAACAATTACCCAATTCCCTAATCTTCCTCTGCTGAAACAACTGGGCGCTGAAGGGTAAAACCTCGCCCCTAACCACGGATCGTGGCTACGATCTACGTAGCCAGGGTCCTCCTACCCTATCCCTCAACGCCCTTGACAGGAACGAAGAAAAATACAGGAATATAAAATGAATGAATGTGCAAAATAGAGGATGAAAAAAACACAGGAATGCGAACACATGAACCAGATGATGGATGAATAAGGTAAAACTCATATTCTAATAATGTGAGGACATAATGATATAGTAATTAAGAGTTTGAAATAATGTAGACTTTTCCCTCGTTTCACCTCCATTCTTAAACGGGCCTAAAGTGTTTGAAATTCCCAATCTCAACAGAGAGAAGAAGTTGATTCTGCCATTCACTCTCAGGATTCCTCATCAGCCAGTGGTGGTTTGTCAAAAACAACCATCACATTCACCTCATCAACCACAGTACCCTCCTTCTCAATGAACACGTCTCCAGTTATATCCATAGCAGCAAGACCTCCATCTACTCTGGTGCTCAGCACGGTGATCTCCTCCTTGTGGTGATTATTTGGCAGTGCATTGACCTGTGCTTGCGTTGTTACGGTGACACTACACTTGGATCCTGGTGGGACAATGCCCTTGTCTGGCTCTATGCGGAAGCGGCGTGACCTTGCCTTTGTCATGAAGGCAATGTAATCATCCGTATCGTTGGTCAGCTCAATTGAGTGTGATATCTGCGGGTCAAGTTTAAAGGGGAAGTGTATTTCCAGCGGCTCAATCCCAAGCATGTCCTCCAGGCAAGGGATTTCCTGTGATGGAGAAATTAAAGATGCATTAGCTTTACCAGAGCCTATCAAAGCTTTAGATCCCTTGAGCTTCATGGAGCACATAGGGCATACCTGCAATTGGCCACCCTTACTACCTATTGTGTTGAGCTCATCCATTACGTATACTATGTCAGGTCTGGCTGTCGGGTTAATTTGGATGCATCTTTGGGCCAGCTCGAGGCATTTTGTCACTTGTTGATAACCCAAGGGTGTATGCTTTGATGATTTAATCCACCTGTGCCTCCATCTTCTAAGTACCTGCATTTACACAAAACAATTCAAATTGGCACCAAAATATTTAATGCAAATGACATGTACATTGTTATCGGCTTAATAATACAACTAAAGAGACGTTGTTGGCTATAGTAACACAGGTTTGGAATATGTGAAAAGTATCCTAATTCCTGTATCTGAGAATTGCACTGTTTCCAGTAAACAAGCTATAATGTTCATGTGAAATTCCTATGTGATCCTTGTATGAAATGATGCCCAATCAATTTAAGAATTTTAAATTGTTTTTGAAATAAAAAGAACTACAGAAAAAATGACTCACAACAAGTAGACAATTATATACGAAAGCGAAGTATCAAACAGTAACGTTTTTATTGTTTTTTGTATTGGAATTATCCCTAATGAAACGTAAGTGCTTTTCCATTCTAGATTGATCTTACTAGTGAAATAACCAGCTCAACTACTTTCATTCAAGGTTTTTTGTATTAGCATCATGACCAAAAGAGGACATATCCATGCAACGATGACATAACCACAACTCTTACTTTGGTAAGATCGGTCCCCTTTTTACTTCCTGTCACCAGCTCTGTAACCATTACTCCCAAACTATATATATCTGACTTGCTGGACCATTTGCCTTCGAGAAAGTATTCTGGAGCACAATATATTCTGCATGATAAGAACACACATATCAACATGCTATGACATAAAGACCTTGTAAGAAGACAAGTGTCAGAAACAACAATGTATTATTAGTAGCTTACGGTGACATAAGACGCGATGTGGTCGCTGCTTGTGAATTATTGTCAAGTCTCGATAGACCAAAATCTGTAATTTTGGGCACCATGAGATCGTCTAGCAGTATATTCGCAGGTTTGAGATCCATGTGGACGATATCCTTCTCCTTGTGAAGATAGAGCAAACCTTTGCAGATCCCCACAATAATTTCATAACGAGTATGCCATTCAAGTCCCCTCAGTTCATCTTAAGAAGTACATGAAGAATCAAGAGTATTTTAGAAGCTGCAAATAAATAATAACGTGCCCAGTGTATGTGCAAGTGAGCATTGAACAAAATGTTGGCCTTTTTTATCTGTAGACTGTCCATGATTATTCATCAAATGCAATTTAAAAGTTAGGATTACAGTTGTGAAGATGCATGGTGCGATCAAGAAAGTAACCATATCATATGAAAATGCAGTTGTGCGCTTTGGTCACTGGACTGTATGTAAGCAAATGAATAGAAGAATATTGATAGCGTTTACTTGAGTATTTACAAATTTATTTTAAAATTCAGGAAGTGGCCATGATTAGGGATTTGACTCTTGATCAGATTATTTCTCTGTTGTGCTCTTTAATTTAGTTTTCACTGTTGATGATCTTAGTTTAATTTTTTGTTTGGCATATTTTTGCTTGCAAGCACTGTGTTAGATTGCTGATTATTGGAATCTGCTGTCTTATAATGTGAATTGGAGAGCTACTGATATCATGTAAAAAGAAGTCATACCTGTGAGATGGCTCTCAAGGTCACCGTTGCTTATGTACTCAAAACAGAGCAACCTTTCCCGTATATCAGCCATAATTGTTCTTCCTTCAAATATTGACACGCGTTCTTCCGTAAAAGAACAATAACCTAGAAATCGTACTATATTTTTGTGCCTAACCGTGATCAAACTTTGAACCTCCCGATGGAACATCTTGTCTTTAATTGTTCGGTTGTTGAAAAGCCTTTTCACAGCAACAATTCCATTTCGAAGCATGCCCTGTTTATAATATCATTAATTATGAGAAAGACCATGATCATTATGTCAAGTAATGCTATGAAAAGAGCAAACATGAAGGTGTGGTAATATAAAAATTGCAGTTACCTTGTAAACGTCTCCACATCCACCAACACCAATTTTTCTCTGCTCAGAGAAATTTTCTGTGATGCTCTGTAGAAGTGACAAATCTAGATGGCTTGGTTCCTCGCTTCCAGCTACTACACGCTCGAGTATGTTCAGATCCATAGTCTGTACCGATGCAGGGTACGTAACGGTGCGTTTTTTTGTTTATGAAATACGAGTTCAGTGTTGTTGACAATGTAAAAAAAATAGTTTTGGAACAGATGCCATAAGCAAAAAAAAAAGCACTATGATACAAAAACAGCTAACTTTCAATATGCTACACTTTCCAAACAGATGGACTACGAGGTTCTTATGAAATACGAATTTCTATTTCATCTCCATTAAGGGGGTGTTTGGGACTACTTCACTCCATGTTTTTTTAGGTTCACTCCACGTTTTTTAGACAAACAGGTTTAGCTCCACGCACTCAGTTCGAAGAAAAAAATATGAAGTTGTGAGAGCACCTTAATGCAGGATGCTCCACAAACTCCAGGTTTTTATGGAGCTGCTCCACAGTGGAGTTTGTGGAGCAGTCCCAAACACGCCCTAAATATTCACATTACCAGCAAACCATATTGGAGGTCATTAGTAAAAGGTTGTGTTGGAGGATGGGACATGCATGCAGCGACAAACGCACGTGTATATATAGAGGTATACCCATGTTGGACTATGTTCAATGATGGCACTAATACTATATGTGTCACTCATGTTGTGCCAATATGGATAGTGAGTATTGGTGCCAAAACATAGGCTCGTGCTAACATTATCAAACCGCACATCGGCTACCTGGCAAGCACGCATGAGCCTTTGATAATATACAAGTTGGACTAGCACCTCAGGCCAAAGTGGTTTACTGTTATGTAGTAGGAGATCATTTTTATAAGAACATTATAGCTCTCGATGAGGTCACAAACTTTATATTGCCATTTTCTGACATTATCTAGATGGCCAAATCTTATTTACTTTAATTTGACAACAACAATTTATAAGGTACAATTCTTTTCCTGCTGACTCACTCATCATAATTTGTAGTACTCATAAACGATATGAAAAGGGATAAAGATGTTAACAACATGATGAAATGATAATACTTGCAGTGCTTATGTACTAAAAAATGTTAACTGTTATGACATATGAAATTCACTAATATAAGCTTCCCAGCTTTCATGTGGACCAACTCAATCCAAAGTTGAAAGATTTGCGTAATAATAATACAAAAATATACGGTGAAAAGAGTAGGAATGCAATGCTTAAGTTTTCATGTAGAGATTGCAATATATGTTGATGTCTAAGAGTAGGTATTATATGGTGAAACGATAATGTATGCAATGCTTAAGTTTTCATGTGAGGTTATAGAAAATAAGAGCTAGTTTACATGTTTGTAACAAGGTATTAAAAATGAAGTTCAGAAATATTATATGAAACAGACAGAAGAAATATTTAATGAAAATTGTGGCTCTCAAATGCTCCCTTCATTTCAAATTATAAGATGTTTTGGCTTTTTAGATACATTAACTTTACTATATACGTAGACATAGTGTATATCTAAATGTATACGAAAAAGTCTGTATTTAGAAAAGCCCAAATGTCTTATAATTTAGCATGGAGGGAGTAATATATAAGCTTATAATTAGTAAATAACTTTTTTTTGTACGACCTGCGACTAGCTATATATAGCACAAAGTGTTGTCAACTAACACTTTTTTATCTGTCAACATAATATTTTGAGGCAATGCATATTTAGGGAGCCATCATAGGCAGTTTTAGAGAGACGTAGGTCAAACAGTAAGGTATGAAGCTTTAATTTAGAGCCATGTGCAATTATTATTGTTATTAATATTCTGACCCATTCACCTGGGCACACTGACCTGTTCATCAGGTTTAAACTCGTCCACAGATTCCTTTTCATCAGGTTCGGTAAACTGATCCGTACTTTCCGTTTCATCGAGCATCTTGATTATATGCCCTGCATCTGGTCTCTTCTCAGGGTCACGGTTGCGGCAGCTTATGGCAATCTCAGCACATACTCGTATTTGTTCCAAGCGCGTGTCTTCTAGTGATGTTCCCAATCTGTCAGCCCAGCTTTTGAGTACCTATAAAATGGCAATGATTAACTGCTTTTAATGAAACTGAAGATATCTTTTCATATGGAAAATTAAATAGTCATGTGATACCACATAAAAGGCAAATATATACATGCTAGAATGCAAATCGTGCATGTCATTCAAGCATCAAACTAACAACATAGATTCTTCAAAAATGAAGGTAATAAGGAGGAAAATTTCTCGTGATAATAGACTATCATCATTATTTCTTATAGAGTTATGGTACATGTTTTAATGCGTTTTCACCTTTCGCAGCTAAACTTTATTTTCAGTACTTGATTTTTCACCTAGAGTTACCCACATGTTCAAACATGCCATAATTATCCATATATAGAACCTTCATCTGGTATAGTCACGTATTTTAGTTGTTCTTACATTCTCTACTACGCAATATTCCTTCTGCCCTGTCAGTATCTCCATGATTAGAACACCAAGGCTGTATATGTCCGCCTTCAATGTGACCACTCTCTTATCTAAGACTTCAGGTGCCGTATATTTCCTGCATGAAAATTTGTACTATGTGCTTAATTTATCGATACAGACGTAACATGATTATTACCCAACTAGGAAAAAACCATGTTGAGAATCAAGCTTACTTACCATGTCCCCATTTTTTCATCCACGAGCGTATCCTCAATGCGCCTGGAGCAACAAAAATCAAGAATTTTTTATTATTACCCAACTAGGAAAAAACCATCTTGAGAATCAAGCTTACTTACCACGGCCCCATGTTTTCATCCACAATAAGCTTGCTTTGCTTTTCCTCAATGCGCCTGGAGCAACAAAAATCAAGAATTTTTGGCACCTTTTTTTCATCCAGGCATATATGGGCAGGTTTAAGATCTAAGTGAATAGTAAGGTTTTGGTGTAGATAAGATAAGCCCTCGCAAATTCCTTTGATTATTTTGTAGCGTTTTTTCCAGCCAAATCCATGAGAGGCATCTGTAATGGGCGAGAATAAACAAATTAGAAAAGCTAAACCTCCATAAACAGAATTTGATTATTAACAGATGGTGCTCTTATTCTCCCATATACTTGATATACAAAGTAATTGCCACTATATATGTTTGCGTGGTGCATGGTTCTGACTGTTTCAACAGAGGAAATAAAAATAGAAATGAACATTACGTGTCACACGATCCTCGTACCAGTGATATACGCAGCAAGGTTCCCTCCTCTCATATATTCAATGCAGAGAAACCTTTCAAGCTTTTCTGCCAAGATCATTTTTCCCTTGTGCTCCAGCTTCTCCGACTGTGCTTCAGCACAATTTCCCAGTAATCGGACTATATTCTTGTGCTTCAACCCCATGTGACAACTGAGCTCATTTTGGAATATTTGCTCATCTTCTCGCGGATCATGATTCATCTTCTTCACAGCGACTGTTCCATTTCGAAGCACACCCTGCCATCACAGCAGCCTTTTAGGCCAACAATAACCCAAACAGAGTGTATTCGGTATTGGTACATAGTACTGTACCTTGTAAACTGCAGTAAACTCACCCCTTCCAATTTCCCAAGCACCATTGAAATTATTTGTGATGGCTCTTAGAAGTGATAGTGGCAGTGCACATGGCTTTGCACTTTCATCATGTAGCAAGCGCTCCAAGACATCGTGCATGCTAGCTTCATAATCCATTTTGTGCGTACTCATCATGTATAAATGTGACCTTCAAACACGAACCACAAGGAATATAATTTTCATGTAATAATCAAGAGAGATAAAAAATTACGGAGCTGATCTAATTACGGGACGTTGGGTAGAGCAGTATATGACCAATACTGTAAAAAATAGGTACGTCCTTTCGCTAAAAAAAAGGTACGTCCTAACACTTGCAACAAGTTCGGCTGCTCCACATTTGGCTGATGTCGGCTGGGCTGCTCCTACTGCTACAGGAACCGGAATCAGCCAGCTACAGTGCCCGAATCGGCTGGAATCAGCCAGCCGAATGGCCAGCAGCCGGCCAGCTACAGTGCTGCGTTTGAATTCAAAAAAAAGGCGCCAACAGGATGGTGTTCCAGGCATTTGAATTCAAAAAAGGCACCGGTAACCACTCCAGTCAATTTACATGTCATGGAAAATTCATTTTACATCAAGTTGATTACAGACACAACAAACAACTCATGCCATTCATTTCCAACACAAATCACAGTGCTCTGATCGCACTGTAGAATCCTTTGTGCCATCTTCCTTCTTTTGCTGCACCAATCAAAGTGAGGCTGCAAGGCCATACATCCGACGCCACAGAGGTATCTACCCCAGTTTAGGCTTGGGTAAGCATGCAGGCTGAAATACTTGATAAGAATATCCAGTGTGTTAGTTGTCATACCTGATTTTGCGGCCAGCAGATACAACTCTTAACCAAGAAATGATGTTATGAGGCGGACCATTATCAGAGCTACCTGGTAATGAATTGCAATAACCTTAATTGGAAATATGCAAGCAACTGCACAATATTTTTTTTTAAATGAGCTGAATATTTCAGAATCTTCACCATCTTGAGGGTAACAATTCCGAACTGGAGTGCATTGCATAGTAGCTAATTAGGGAAGGAAGAAAAAACTTGTATGGAACCAACCTGCAGCAGTGCTTCCAGAGGTTGAAGCCTTAGTGCCTGGAGTATCAAATAGATACCCATAGCTCAGCATAGCACGTTTTAGAACAGAGTAACTTGGAAAATACCCAACGTTGACCAGCGGTTTACCAGCCTGCAATCAGTAAAAGGAAGATCTGCTTGCTGAAGGTTCAATGAAAGAGGAAAAGGATAAAATGTTTCTATAATTATATTACCTCATCCAAGGAAAGAATGCCATCCCAAAAGTCGGCTGTAGAAACTTGGAACTTCTCATTGGATGAATGCAACACTGACATGTAGTGGCTATTTGTCAGATGGATTACTAGTGAATAACTATGTGCCAAACGTGGTTGAGTTAATCTCCTCCTGATTCAGATGGACAAAGCACAACTTTGTTCAGTTTCATTGTGATGTATCTAAAGTCTTCTGTACATACTGTTGCATAAAAAGTTACAGCTTCAGATTTTAGATGTACTATACATTAATATGAGATTTCCATGGGAACTGCTCCATTTTTCTCACAAAAGCATGCATGGAACCTTTCTTGGATGGCACGACTATATAAATGCTAAAGGAACAAAGGCTTGGCAGGTATTACTTTCAGAGCAGTGACACTAATTAATAAGCCATTAACATTTTTCTCTCTCGAAGAGGTTCAGTGGTATCAATTACTTACCTCGCTATTTGCATCCCTCCCACCACAAAGTGAGAGAAGTGGGGCGGGGGTGTGCCGTTGGCGGTCGCGGCGGCTGGCGTCGGGACGAGAAGACAGGGCCAGAGCGACCCCAAACCCTAGGCGCGGCGCGATGGGGATGATATTGAGCGAGGGGGGATGCCGGCGTTGGATCCGTCGGCGGCGTGGGGCGGGGGTGCGCCGCTGACGGCCACCGCGGCTGGCGTCGCGAGGAGAGGACGGGGCGAGAGCGGCGCAGAAACCCTAGGCGCGGCGCGATGGGGAATGGAATGAGGGAGGGCGCGCGTGGGTATGGTCCTCCGCTTGTGGGTCTGCCGAACGGCTGCGGGAGCTGGCTGATTTCGGTTTCCTGTAGCATCAGGTGCAGCCCAGCCGGCATCAGGTGCAGCCAACCGTGGAGCAGCCGAACACGTTGTTGGATCCATGGTACAGCCACACACGAGACTAAAAAGCAATATCGAACAGACTCTTGGTCGTCTCGCTGCTATAAAACTCAAGAGTTGGTCAAAACAATTAAAACATGGAAGATGATAACAGTTGCTGTTTAGCCCTTGTTTAGTTCCAGGAAGTTGGAATTTGGGGCTACTGTAGCACATTCGTTTTTATTTGGCAATTAGTGTTCAAACATGAACTAATTTGACTCAAAACGTTCGTCTCGTAATTTCCCACCAAACTGTGCAATTAGTTTTTTTTCGTCTATATTTAATGCTCCATGCACGGACCGCAAACATTCGATGTGACAGGTACTGTAGCACTTTTTGAAAATTTGGGGTGGAACTAAACAAGGGCTTAATGGCAGTGGGCATTTCCTGATGGTTTCAGTCTTGTTTTACTAACTTTCTACGTCGGTGATGCAAACTAAAGGAATAACGAAGAAGAAAAAAATAAACTCTGTGAAGAGAATAGATTTACTTCCTCGTAAATATAGATTTAGCGATACCAAACTCTTGGTCCCACTTGTCCCATCTCAGGGCAAACTATATAAGTATTGAGATTACATAATCTTGCGAAGAAGCAAAAGGGATAAATAGGCAATCCCAATATCAAGAACTGCAGTTGAAACCAAAAGAAACAACATCTAAGCACTCCTAAGTAAACAATCTGCTCCAGCTCTGTTTTATCATGTACAAAAATGATGCGAAATCGCAAGAACTGTATGCTTATCCTGACTATAATGAACAATTAGTATCCTGCTACAGTCGCTTGTTTGGATCCAATGCAAGAGATTGACTTACCGGCAATATAAGACAAAGGTTCGGTCAACTCCCCGGTGGAACTGGACAGTGGACACAGCTGAACTGTGAAGAGTGTTAATCAGAAATGATGATGAGAAAAAAAAAGAGAGCAAATGAGTCCAGACTACAGAAGAGTTGAGAGGAGTCAACGGGACGAGGAGATTAGGTTATAGAAAGGCGAGATAAATTTCTCCGCACCTCAGCAAATTCAGGGAGGACGAAGAGGAAGCAACACAATCAACAAAGGACTATACTGCAAGTCTGAATCTGCTCACAGTGTAGATTCAGAACCTTGACGATCCAGATTCACAGTGGAGACTAATTTCAACGGATATTTGCCTTTTGGGAATATTCACAGAATTGGGGAATGAAAACTTAGAAAGTACGTAGAAACCACAAAGGACTATACTGCAACTGCAAGCCTGAATCTGCTCAAGTACACAACGTGTACCACTGATGCACCAAAGCAAAGAACAAGAGTTCCGGGAACAATCAATATCCGCTCGAGTTCAGTAGGAAAATCGTTACAACAGGAGAAGAAAACAGAAAAATTACACTGGACACAGCGCGCGCACAGCTGCTAGAGCCTGAACAAACTGGTTAGGAAGACATGGATTGGAACTGGACAGTGTGGTAAGCAAGAAGGTGGGCCCAGAAGTCCTCGTTTCATGGCCTGGAATACTTCGGAATTATTTCAACGGACTTTTGCCTTTTGGGAACATTCACTGAATCGGGGAATAGAAAGTACAGTAGAAAACACAAACGGACTCCACTGCAAGTCTGAATCTGCTCAAGTGCACAACGTGCACCATTGACGCACCAAACCAAAGAACACAGAGATACGGGGAAAAGTCGGAATCCGCTCGAGTTCAGTAGAAAAATCAATACCACCACCGGAGAAGAGAACTGAGAAAAATAACACTGAAAATAGCGCACGCGCAACCTCCAACCTGCTAGAGGCTGAACTAACTAGTTAGGAAGGAAGGGATGGACTGGAACTGATGGATTGGAACTGGACACTGTATGAGCAATGAGCTCGCCCCTGAACTCCTTGCTTCTTCCCTTGCTAATTTCATTGATGTGGAAGACTTGATTTCAGTCTGAACATGTTCGGGCATGTGGCGTGCCACCTACCTAAATCATTTATTATTGATGTTGAGTGAAGCGGAGATTTTTTTTTTCAAAAGGCCGTTGCCTGGTTGGTTTCGGAGGCTGATAAGCTCGGCTAGTGCTGGTTTGTTGTGAGAGAAAAATAATGTTGGCTAGCTGATAAGTCCTGGCTAAAACCAATGAATGAATAGGCTGAATAATACAAACATAGATACTCAAACATGCACTTATACTCTCCGTACCTTTTGACCACCTCAAGAGTACTAGGTAGGTACGTATCGAGACTGACGAAGTCATTTTATTCTACCTATATGAGTACCATTGATAGACTAATCTAGCAAATATCAAGATTGATGAAGTCACCGTAGCCGCCTTATTATCAAAGGGCACATTGCCTTGTTAAATCCTATAATGAATTCAAGAAAATACAACCACCCACATCAAATCGATGACTTAAATGGTTATATGCAGATTTGAACCTAAGAAATCTAACTAGTTGAGGTAAGCTGAGTTCGGAGAGAAGAGTTCCTAGTGTTTTAATATGAATCCTCTTTTTATAAAAAGGGAGGGTAGGTATTCTTTATTGTGCACCATGAATAGATTCAACTATATCACATATCATTGATCACACTAAATAAAATTAAAATAATTAACCATATTAAATTAATGTCATTAATTTTATTAAGTTGAATTAAAATTTCATTATATATATCACTAATAATATTAAAATTGATATTTTTGCAAGACCCTGTTACAAACACATACGCTCACATACACGAGCGCGCGCTCATCCCTGTAATCGGACGCACATACATCCTACCCCTATGAGCACCTCCGAAGAATTGAGTTGGTCCAGCAAATCTCGAGATTGACGAAGTCACCACATGCGCCTGCCACGTCGCCTACCACTAAAAGATTAGCGCCGTTAAATCCTGAAATAAATCCAGGAAAATGCGAGCACCTATGTCAAGTCGGGGATTTAAACCTGGGTGGGCAGGTTCCACCACAATGAACCCAACCAGTTGAGTTACGCTCAATTCGCTTAAAATTAATATTATTACTCATTACTTTTGAATAGTTTTAATTTGTACATATTATTAATAACATTGTAAAGTCAATATAATTATTCATAGTCACATGTAATTTTAAATAGTTTCACCTAGTACTGTATTGTTTATGGATACAAATTTTATCGTACATCCATCCATTTTCTTAAATGTGAATATGAAATCAGATAGAGAAAAGTAACATGAAAAACCGATTTAGATAAATCCATTAGTATCTACTCCATCCGTCCTATAAAAAGCATCACTGTAGGACTCGTGCTAGTTAAACTTTCTTAAGTTTAATTAGATTTATACTTTTTTGTGAGTATGATTAAATTTGTACAAAATATTAGCAACATTTATATCTTTAAATAAATTTATTATGAAAATATATTCAACGATCTCAGACATAGGGCAGATGTACATCAATAATATCGTGTTGCATATTGCCCATAATTCAAATGCATTTGAATATTGAAGTGCCAGTTCTCTCGTTGATAGAAAAAACAAATCGATCTCCATAGAGAAATGGCAATTTAATTATCAAATAGACCGTGTTCTATTTCATCTTGACTTGACATTTCTCTGTCTTATGAATCTATGGTTTTGAGATGGAAAATGCTGTGGAGTTGACATTTCATCTTGACTTGACATTTCTCTGTCTTCCAATCTATGCATGGTTTTCAGATGGTAAAATGCTGTGGAGTTATGCTAAAGAGCTGTGGACTTCGGTGGAAACTTGGTCCCAGCAGGAAGGGGTTGGTCCTGAACCAAGATATTAGCCACATCAAGACATGGTGGAAACTGCTAACTCAAGATCTACAGATAAAATGCCGCAGGCTGACGATCATAGTATACACGATATGGAACTTATGGAAAGAGCGATGCCGTTGGGTTTTCGACAAGGGGGCACAAACCACACAACAACTCGTGCAAATAATAAGGGAAGATCAGCAGCAGCTACAACAGGCGCATGACAATGTTCAGGAAGACAGCTAGAAGGCGGCGGCAATTCAGCAATTAGCTGGTCTATGCAGGGCTATAGTTCCCGTTGGGTGTCGCAAGTCGCAATGATATTTCTATCTGTTTTTCATCCTGCTTTAATTTCCCTTCTGTTCAATTGAACTTCTGTAACCTGTACATACTATGCTACCTTCTATTGAAACGGCAGAGCACCTGCCTCTTTTTGCTCGAAAAAAAAAGACAAGAGT